CCAGACCCCAAACCCCGCCCACTTGTATACACAGATACACACGGATACATATAGAACCAAGCCCTGAGTTGGCCAACTCTCATTAACCCAATTTGAATTGTTTGTTCAGTGGCTATCTCACTCCGACGCACTGCAATTGAGCCCTTGACAATGCTGTGACGTCAGCCACAGTAAACACCCGATAAGGCTGTTTTCTATGAAATCAACAAACTACACAAACATAATTATGAGAATAAACCATTCTTCTGTTTAACATTGAATTGATTTTGGTTGATACATTGGGAATATATACAATAAATTGTATTAATGTCAATGTCATTGAATTAATGTTTGCAATTACAAAAAACAAAAGCGCTGGCACGATTAAGGAAATAAAAGCCTAATCAAAATTTGTGGTTAAAAAGTTTTAACCCATTGAGGACCAAGCCCGCAAATTATGTTTGCCCCTTAACGAGCGACCACTGTACGGCCATGGTAATTAGAAAATGCATTTACCTGTCTGCTTACCACAATTAGTGGTAATGCTAATGTAATAACGTAAGTCCCAAGTGTCGCCCCAGCTCGAACTCAATTTCCCATTTATCGACTCGAATCCTAAACAAGTGAAAAACAAGTGCAGCAGAGCAACTGATAGGGCGCAGTACCCATTATAACCAGAAGCAGGAAGGGCGAAATAGAAACCAACGGGGGGAATAAGAGGCCCAGACGATAAGAATTCGACGATTTCTTCAATCAGTAGAAAGACGCACTCCGCTCGAGTACAATTTAAGATTTGAGAACAATGAAACTTTATCGCACGAATTGCACTTACAGCTGCAGCCAGATTAATAGGATTGGGGTTGGTCTACTAGAAAATATTCGATTTATTTGTTAATCTTTCTTACAAATTAAAAAAATTAAATGTTTTTGAGTTTTAATGAAGATAAATTTTGAATAAGAATTTATAAAACTTCAACAATTGACATTATTTGTTTTAAAATATTTTTTGAATTTTTTTTCAACATCAATTACACTATTATTTAAACCGCTTTTGTATGGTAAGAGGAGTGAGTAAAAGGGCGGCACGATGAAATAAAACCAAGTAAACTAAAAATATGAAACAAACGGAAAAAGCAGACGCAAAATGAAATTATGAAACACAACTCCCCTGAGTTTTTAGGCACCCCACGAGAGCACCGACTAACTCCCAACGCATTAACATAATTTATTCACAAAATGCTGCTGTATACTACTACTACACTCAGAAAAAAATATTGAGATAAGCCAGAATAATATGGCAATAATATACACAAGCAATTAGTTTTTTCAGCTGTTTATTTTTTGATACTTAGTGGGATGCTCATGATTTTTATTGAACTCATATCATCACATGCAAAGCATTGACCTTAAGGCTTAATCATTTTAATTAGCAAATAATAAAACAAATTTAAATGTCAAGTTGAATTACATAAAGGATTTTTACGACACGATTTAATCAAGACTGAATAGAATCAATACGATAACATTTATTATTGTAGTAATGCCATTGTTGTTTCAGTTGCTATTGGCTGAAATAAACATTTTCCCAGTAGCATTCACAAGTGCTCCAATAAAAAGTGTTTTCAGCGCAATATTTGAGTCGTTTTGGATTTCAACAGCGGCCAGAAACCGAAACCGAACTGAAAATGAAATGAAAACAGACGAAACTCCTTCAGTTCCGAGCCATAGTAAATAACAAAAAACGATATGTGTCTGCAATTGCTGTTGAATGACTGAAAAAAAAACTATATATATAAACCGGCAAATAAGCTCCAACAATCAGGAAAGAAAACTAGCTATAGATAAAAACCACAAAAAGTATGTAGTCGAAACTGTAAATTCATTTCTTCAAATCTGGAATTTTACCAAATACAGTAGGTATTGGCCAAAACAAAATAATTAAAATTTTTTCCTGCTCTATTTAATTGTGTGAAAATATACAGTTTTAAAAGTTTCACATCACAATCCAAAGTGAATACTATATTAATATTATGTGATAAAATAATAATAAAGTTTAATGAAAACAATGAATATGTCTTTTTGAAATTTCTTCTAACCAAAGTTAACTCGAATTAATGGGCATTTACTGTGGGATGAAATGCCAGCACGTCTGCGTAGAGATTGGCACACATATCGGTATCGCTTATACCGCTTCTGTTGTTAACTGATTTTCTACGCTTTGGGGCAGGTAAATCAGGTAAGTCTCCAGTTGGCCAAGTGGCCACAATACCTTGGCTCTGACTGTGGATGCTGATGCCGCCTCATTGTTGTTTGTTTCGATATTTCTTGGGGGGTTTTTGTGTGTATGTTGTTTATGTTGTGGAAGCTATTGCCTGAATTTTACATAACGGCACTTTTGGCGTCGCCAGAAAGGGACGGCAGACAAAGGAAGCTGCGCAATCGCAAGAGACGGCATGAGGTTGTCAATCTTTTTTAAAAACAACATTTAAGAGGAAACCACTAAAGACCGATAAAGTGTGGCTTCGCTAATTACTTATTTTGTTGAACCCAAAAAAAAGGGTTTAAAACCTTACCATTAATTAGTATTCAATTAAGGTAATTTGTTTTATTTAATGTTAATAATACGCATGTTTTACGATATGTCACTTTAAAATTGTATTTTATTATTACTTACACTTTCTTTTTAATAACTATGGAAATGCTTTCAAAAACATTAGTCTGTTAGGTTTCAAATTATAAAAAAAAATGTATTTTTTAAGATATTCAACCACATTTTTAACATTGTTTATTCATATTAAAATAAAATGTAGAAAAATATGTTTGGACTCCCCCGATTTTCTAGCGATCACTGTAATTTTCCAGTTGGCTTACTTAATTTGTGTTTAAGTATGGTTGCGCGAAAAAGTGTTGGCAACCGCTTTTTATGATCCGTTAAAAACTGTGTGTATATGAATATACCGAAAAAAGCAAAACAACGACGATAGGGAAACAGACTCAAGTGCAAATTATTTTTGACATATATATTTTCGCGGCTTTGCTGCGAAGGTCGATAGCTTGCGTTCCAAATGGGCAACATAATAACTAACAAACAAGCGCCAAAATATCATAAAACAATACAAATAATGAAACATGGCGAAAACACTTGAGCAGATAGTTGAAAAACCCGCTAAAAACAAAAAGAATTCCGATTTGAATAAGCCAAAAAAATGACTTGGTTTTTTTTTTGGCAAGAGACGACAGAATGAAGGCTATCCTGCTCCAACCTTCCCCAGATAATGACGGATGATACACCCACACCCACACTGTCTGCAAATTTATGATCATAATTAACATGACGATGACTTTCTGCTCCATGTGTTCCACTAGTTTTAATGCTCGTGATTTAAATAAATAGCACAACTGAAATTTGAATAAGCACGCAACATCTCCCCGCACACATACAAATATACTGGAGTACGGCTTGCCTAGTACAGCAGCGGCCAAAGGAGTAGCACTCCATGTCCAACAAGGCCTTCCTCAATTTTAACTTAAAACTTTACATTAATATATTTCGAATGTATATTTTAAGTCAAAGCCTTTAATAATCTGGTAGTAAAAAAGCAAGACCCGAATTTTTTTGGTTTTAGTTGTCTTTAAGATCACAATGTCTTTCAAACAAAGCTGACAGAAACCACCGAATTGCACGTATATTTAATCTACATGCGAAAGAAAACCAAAACACAAGGTTATCTTAAGCCGGCACAAGTTAACTTAACTTTAAGAAAATTAAAAAAAAAAAGTCTTGTAGGGTTCTTCTATTAAAACTCTATAATATTAAGAGCTTGTTTATAATGCAAAATAAATAAATGGTAAGTTTATAAAAAATTGTAGAATACTTTAACTTTCATTACCGATTATCTCAGATAACACGAACTCGGATAACAATACATTTTATATTATTTATCTTTATCTCAAGCACAAAAATAATTAACTATTTTACCCCAACTGTATGTCGCGTCTACGTGGGCCATGTGCAAGGTGGCAACGCTGCGTGCAAGGTGTCGTCGTGTTGGCAATGCGCAGGCGCAGAGAACGTCAGAGCAAGATGGAGCGATGCACAGTGGAAAATATAATTAAATCTGGCTTACAAAAAGTATTTCTTTACTTTACTAAAAGCTATGTTGCGAATTTTCGAGAAACTGTTTTTTGCATTACAAAGAAAAAAATTTTAAAACATTTTTCTTAAAATTATTTATTTTATTGTTGAGTTGCTTTTGGTGGCACTGATTGCATGTTTTTTTTAGGGATTGTGTACTGGTTCCATTAATTTTGTTAAATATTTTCCTGGCTTAATATTGGTTTGATTTTTTAGGGTCATTGAGTTGTTGAAGTTACAGATATGGAAGTTTAGCTGTACAGAATTCATAAATTGGTACTAAGTAGGACAAAATTAAAAAAAAAATGTAACTGCAAAATGTCTTTCAGAATTCTCCCACTGTATGGACCCACAAAAAGTGGGTGGAAAGTAAAGGAAGACAAGGTTACAACACAACAACAACAACTGGAGGGCAGCAGCTGATGTGGTGGGAGTGGAAAGTGGAAGAGGGAATGAGAAGTGAGAATGGGAAGTGGAAATGGGAAATGGGCAATGGAAATCGCAATAAGAATGGATATGGAAAAAGGAAGGGCAGGACTGCCCTGTTATCAATGTTGTTGTTTCCCAGCGAAGCTGCGAAGCGATGATGAACGATGATGAATGATGATGGACAATGGACGCTTTTAATTACATTAATGCGCGAAAATAAAGCATACAAAATTTGTACCAGTTTTTCTTTTGCTGCTTCGCTAATTTGTAAAAAAAAAAAATGAACAGCAGCAAAGTCACTAACACACTCGCAAGCCAAATGCCACACAGACAGCGAAAGAAAGTTTCTGTATTTTTTCTCACTCCATTTTTCGTTGATAATGTTTACATACACACGTAGTTTTTTTTAGAGAGGAACAACCAGACATAAAATATAAATAAAGATGCTGGAACTCACCTCTTCTTCTTCTTCTACTGTTTATTCCTCTGCCACTGTGAATGAACCGTTAGGCTGAAACAGGGGGTGGTGTTAGTGTGCTGTTGTTGTTGTTGCTGTTGCGGCAGCAACAAATTGCCGTTGTTTATTGTTTTTCCCTGTTTTGTTTGCAATTAGCAATATTTCTCCATATCCGATTAGATCGATTATTTGCGATCAATTCATATCCGATCGGGAATCGGTTGCATTAACTTTAAAATACTCGAAAATTTTGACGACACCTCCGAACTTTTTGCTGTAAACGTCACACACACATACACGCATACGCACACACCTCAGCCACAGCACTCGTTTTGTATTACGCTCTCTCTCACAGTCGTTCTTTTTGACTACATTTATTTACTATAATTTTTTTAGGGAGTACTTCAATTCACTCTTTTTATTCATCGGCCGAATATTGCACTGGAAAAAAATACAGCGTTCGATCGACGACGGAGAATTGACGAATGTTTTTTTTCGCCCACTGGCTAGGGATGGAACCAAAATCGATGTTCTTTCGATACCATCGATGTCTTCGCTACAACCATCGATGGCGTCGGAATATACCAAAAATATACCACTCAATGTGCATATCCTTGTCTGCAATTAAGCACAGACTCCAACCACGGGTATATATTGCACAGTGGGCAACGTTCCAGGACTAACATTAAATTAATTCTATTATTATTAACATACCAGCTAAGAGTTAATTACAAAACACAGCCTTTTGGGTTAACATTTTTAGGCCCTTTCTGCCCTCAATGGCCAAATTGTTATAACTGTGTATGAATAAGAATTATCCAATTGGAAATTGGAAAACTGCAAGCTGTTCAATAGACCGCGTTCCGGAGTAGTAAATGGACATTTTTGAATGTATTACATTAGAAAAAAATTACAAATAAATGTTGAAAACAATTACTTTGTAAAATAAATTTTCCGAAAAAATAAGAGTCAGTTCAGTATGCTTGCAACAACAACAACATCATGTTGGTCCTACAAATAAGAAACAAACATTCTTACTGATTTCAAAAAGAAATCCCATCTCCTTCATTCATCCTTCTTTTGAATTGTTTTGCAATTCCTCCAAATTTTAAGGTTACCTTTGGCAGAGCAAATTAAAACCGAAAAAAACACCCATCTCTGTAATGCATTTGCTCTAGTATTTATGCGTTATCTCCGGCACGGTCACACCGGTGATAGCGTCTTTAAATGTTGTAAAAATCAAGCGATTTTTAGCTGAACGAAAACGCGATTTTCGAGCGCATCCAGGTAATTAGGAAGACGAACTGGGTGCTCGTGCCGAGCCAGGAATTGTCCGAATCGAAAGGTCGCCACTAACTGGTCCAAATAAAGGCGATTAGGCCAAATAAACCGTGTGGCAAACGTGCGTTCCTTTCGTTTTCTCCTTTTCGTGGGAAATTCGCAACGGGCGGCATTCCGCGAAAATGGACATATTTGATATGGTAAAAGCGGCGCCGCCGCCGCAAACAATAAATCCGGTGGAGCGAAAGATATCCACCCCGTCGCCGATACCGCCCGATTCGCCGCTGGACTCAATAGGTACAATTACCACCGCCTTTCCGCCAGCAAAATAAGTGCTTCTCAAAGAAATAACCATCTTCCCTCCTTTTTGGATTGTTTTTTACTTTTTACAGACCTCCTGGACGGTGGAATTCTATCGAACGAGGATGATTTGGACAAGGAGGCGGATCTGGACGAGTCACCTTTTCAAATACCCAGACGAGAGTCCAGTGACAACCTACATCATAACTCAGACGAATCGTTTTTCAAAATGCCAAAAAGGATGAAGAAAAATGATGAAATCGAGGAAATGGACGAAGCTGTGCAGATGGTAAGCCAATTCAAAGATGAGAAGGAGGCTGGCACAGCGTCGACGAAACCTAAGAAAGGCGTGGAACTGGACAAGGCTAAAAAACCGGGTCCTCCTCTAAAACCGCACAAGAAAAGGACAGCCGAGCCCGAGTTGCAGAAGAAGGCTGACGACGACGAGGAGGATGAGGAGTCGGAGGACCACCAACTGACCACCATGCCCACCAAGACCAAGGCGCAGCAGAAGATGTTCACCGATCAGCCGCTGGCCAAGCCAAATTTCGATAAGGAGTGCGTGGTGCGAGTGCGTCGTCTCAAACAGCAGGAAATCGACTCGGCCCTTGAATCCGTGGCCAATTCACCCTTTGCCGATGTGGTCGACGCTCCCCAGAGAAGCCGGGGGCGTGGCAGGCCCAAGAAGAACACCCAATTGTCGCCCAAGGTTCAGAAGTCGCTGCCCAAGGGTCAGAAGTCGTCGCCCAAGGGTCAGAAGTCATCGCCCAAGCCTACGTGCAAGCCCAATTTCCACATCAAAGTTCCTCTGCAGAATGGCGCCAAGAAGCGGGCCTCGCAGCATTTGGCGCGCACTCACACACCGCCGCCCAGTTTGGTCAGGCGCCAGATGAAGAAACAGACACCGGTCCCCCAGGTGCCCAAAGCCAGACCAAAACCCAAACCGAAGCCCAAGTCAAAGACCAAGCCGATTCGCGGATGCCATGCCAGTCAGGCTTTGATCGAGCGCTTTGGAGTGCGCTTCTTTAACAGCGTGGTGAGGGTCAAGAGGCTCCACTGGCCAACGAGTGGCCACAAGGGGCTCGCCTGCGGTGCGCGGCTCATTGGCGGGGCCAAGAAGGGCCGCCCCCCGAAGGCCAACAAGTCGGTGTCCTTCAGTGAGGCCGTGGAAATCCTGGGCAGCAGCGAGGGCAGCTCGCGTCGGGCGACATTCGGCTCGATCTCATCGAAATCGCCCAAGCCGACACGCCTGCAGCGGGTGGATGCCACCGGGAATGTGCTGGAGGATATAGCTCTGACCTCCACACCGCTTCTACCTCCGATCGCCACCGGCTCCTCGGCATCTGCTCCCGGAGGACTGCGCGGCAAGGGCAAGCGCCGCTCCTGCAACGGTTCGCCATTGCCGATGGCCAAACGTCTCAAGCGATCGCACCAGCGTCTGCCGCTCTCCAGTTTGGCCAGCCTGCGCCTGGACGATGGGCCCAATGCTGGCGAGGATGAGGACGAGGAGTACATAGGTAGGTAGACGCAATAGTCAGGCTGACGACAGATTAAATGGTCCTTATCCAGGGTTCAAGTTTAGTTCGATGCCCAAAAAGGACGAGTGGTTCAAGGGTAGGTAGACGCAATAGTCAGATTGATAACAGATTAAATAGTCCTTATCTAGGGGTCAAGACTAGATCGATGACCAAAAAACATGATTGGTAGTCATGAATATCTAATCATTTATATTTTTTATGTACACTCATTTGTTCCATATCATGTCGGCAATCAAAGTCGACATCGAATAACCATTTTATCGACTGCACGCACATGATTGGTCTGTTTCTTAAACCATTTTATAGAAGCAATCTTTGAAGTTAAAACCAAGACGATTATAATAAATTCGAAGTGGGATCAAGAAAAGAATCATTTATTAATACCACATGACTAAGAAGTAAGAAATATCTTGTGTGTTTGCTGCTATACGATTATAATTAATACAAAGTGGGCTTAGGAAAAGACTCATTTATAAATATCACATGACTAAGAAGTAAGAATAATACAATGTGGGATCAAGAAAAAAAAACAATTTATTAATATCACATGAATGAGAAGTAAGAAATAATGTTTTCAGGTGTGTTGTGCGTTCTGCTAAATACAAAATCAAAGCAAAGCTAAAACTAATGCAATCTTCTCTGTTTTCACGGCCAGTGCCCAACGAACTGCCAGGCATTCAGCGACCTGGAACGCCTCCGCCCAAGAAAAAAAGGATAACGTTCACCACGACCATCAGCGACGATGAGGACGAAAAGCCGTTTGTAAAAAAGCAAAAGGATATCCCCAAAAAGCCACCAAAACCCCTCAAAGAGAGCTTCAACAAAAAGCCTGATAAATCGCTTAAGGAAAAGGAGAAGGCCGACAAAACGCTTAAAGAAAAGGAGAGAACAAAGGAAATGTCAAATGAGATTGTAAAGGAAGAGCTTTCCATAGTCACAGCGGAAGTTGTCGATGCCGCCACCAATAAAGTGGAAGTCAAAGCCGCCAGCGAGGAGGAAAACAAGCCAGTGGTGGAGGAAATTCAGTCACAAACGGAAGAGAACGACATAGACGCTGTTGAAACAAATGAAGTAGAAAGAGACGGAGAGGCACCAGCACCAGATGCAACAGAGGAAAATACAGACTTAAGTGGCGAACCTGGGGAAAATGTTGAAGACCAGCCGGTGGGAAATGCAGAAGACAAGTCAGGGGAAACAGTAGAAGAAACGGAAGAAAAGGCCGAGCAGGTAGTCTCAGCTGAAAATTTGGATGAGGAAACTGCAGTGGAAACTTCTGAAGACCTCAATGCAAGCGCCCAAAAACCCGCAGAACAAGAAGAACAAATGGAGGAAGTGGGGAAGGCGGAGGAAGACGGTAGGGAATTTTCAACTCCCCCACCACAGCTTCCGTCCACCAACACCACAACCAACACCACCACAATCAACACCACAACCAATACCACCACCAACACCAAAACCAACACCACAATCAACAACACAATCAACACCACAACCAACACCACCACAACCAACACCACCACCACCAACACCACAACCAATACCACCACAACCACCACCACTGAAGACAACCAGGATGATGTGCTGGAGATCCAGACGTCCCTGGACGATGTCCGTCAGTTGCACACGCCCTTATCCCGCCAGAGTACGCCCAAGCAGCGCAGCCGCCTCGATTCGGGGGATTCCGACTGCAGCTTTAAGTCCGCCAGCGATCACGGTAAGCCACAAGCAGCTGCTGGAGCTGCTCCTGCCGAAGAGGAGGAGGAGGAGGCCAAGCCAGCAGCGGTATCCGTCGGAGCAGAGGAAGAACAACCAGCGGATGCGATCGTCGCCGACGACGCCCTCGATCCCGGCGAACTGCCCGCGGAGCTGATGACGACCCCGCCATCGGCGACCAGGACAGTGAATGGCAGCAACCCCACCAGCGGATCCAGCATATCGACGCCCTTCTACTCGCCCATCGAGCCCATGCCCACACTGGATGACGAGGTCCTGGGCCAGCTAGTTGGTGAGTGGCCGACGAACTCCCCCTCGATCCACTGAACACGCAACCAATAATATCATATTTATTTTTGTAGATTACAATTAGAGAGGGGCTATGTTTTCAAGCCACCTAAGTACGTTTATTATCTGGTTTTTAATCGCGTTCCGTTTGCGTTGCATATCATTAAGTTCCCCTTGGCTTGCAACCAACCCCCCCCATTTTTAAGCCATAAATACGCTTGTTCATAGGCATCACAATTATCCACACATTTCCATTCCGTTTCCATCAGAACAACTACTTTATTGGCAATTGTGTTTACCTTCTGTCAAACTAGGTATCACAATTAAGTGTTATTAAGACTTGTCGCTATGTCATAAAGCTGTAGTGGAAAATATAGATTTTTTTGTAAAGAACGAATTTACATTTTTGAAGTACATATATATGCATTTCAATAAAAGATAATAGTTTAAATTACTTTAAACGATTGGTTTACAAACCAAACATTTTTTTCATGATTTACAATTTATACAAATAAAAACATTTTTTTTCTTTCCCAACATTCATAACGTTTTACTCTTTAACTTTAAGTAATAATTTTATTTAAATATTTTGTTTGGAAAAAATGCTTATATTATTCAATACATTTCAAAACAAATACAGATTTAAAATTTTTTGGTAATTTGTAATTATAGTACTCTTTTCGAAAAAGTGTATGAAAGATTGGTTAATAAATAAAAAACTTCATTCTTGCTTACAATGTATATAAAAATCAGTAAAATAAATAGCAATACTCCTTTAAAAATAAAACTCTAAAATAACCTATTTTGGGTCCCTGTTAGAAGTCTACTATGTAAAAGTAGCTTTTTATGCGCTCTTTTTTAATTTAAACATATTTAAAGAATATTAAATTTTGCATTAAAACAAACATTCCTTCTTTTAATAAAAAAAATTAAACTGTGAAATACCATCTGTTTAGTTGTTTTGGCATTTGTTTGTTTTATAACAACATCCTCAGAAATAATCACTTGTATCCTATTCCTTACTTACATTATAATAATGTGGAAATGCCTTTCACTAATTAAATTTTGTGCTTCTGCTTTTTAGAGCCCGACTTCCAGCTGAACTCCAGCCGCCATGCCATCTCCAGGGGCACGTTGGACGACATAATGACTGCGTTAGAATCCTAGGAAGCTGGCAAATTGCACAACAAAGTACTCACAGAAGCATTCACACACTCACAATAGCAATCACACACAAAAGCGACTAAGTTTGAGCTTAGTCTGGATTTTTAATAACATCCCTATTAAGATCAACAAATAGTCGTATTGATATTTTTAAAAACACTTTCATTTTTATGATGGGTACCAAAAGTGGCATATATTTAGGGTACATTTTTGTAAAAGAATGTAAATGGTGCAAATTTAAATAATTTGCACATAAATAAGTTGCTGATCTAGTCAGCTTACAGGACTTGAACCGATGGATCCACACAAACTCACTCACTCAATTTGCAATTTTGCGCAAAACAGTGGAAATAAATGAATTAGTAAGGGAAATTAAAACAAAATATGAGATTTAATATCTAATGTTTAAGTTGCTTAAACAGATCGTTATGTTAGTTTTACAAAAAAAAAGAAACGAAGACGCAATGTTCGTTTGTTCAAACTCTAACATTTTTTTTTTTAATTGAAAACTAATAAGTTTAAAAACAATTATGCATTCGTGCATATATAAATATATATTTATATATATAAGTATGGATCAAATTAAATTAATTGTAAATTCAATGTATTAATGAACAAAATAATATGTATGTATGTATAAAGAAAAGGAAAACAAAAAGAACCAATACATATTGCAAGTTTTTTATTGGGCTTGAATTTTAAGCGGTTCACATGAAAAAATTGATCTTTATTTCTGTTTAGCTGAGAAAGATTCCATATTTTTGGGTCTTGTGCGCGTTATTTAAAACAATTTTGAACTGGCCAAAGTTGCCATATTGTGCTCGAATGAACTTTTGACCGCCTTATTTTAAACTCTATTTGAAATCTAAGCTAAAAAGAGCCTTTTCTTTTATTTTGGTACCAGAGTAAATTAAATAAGTATTATTGAAACAACATTTGTACAATTATTGTTATCTGTTAATATAGGTAAAAAGGATTTTTTTTATTTACTAAGTAAATCATATTTCTATCATCAAATATTACAATTAAATTAAATGTTTGGGCAAATACACTTTATACTTAATTACAATAATTATACATTAATATAGTTAATGCTATCTCATGTATGCTTTCTATTTTGCTTTAATTGTATATTAAATTAGTTTTAGTTATAGTCGTTGTTATTTTATATTACCAAGTTAAATGAGCAGATTAAAATAGCACTTTTGATTAGTTCTGATGTAAGCTGACTTATTTGTTATTATGTAGTAGAAATAGGAAAATCTGACCCAAGCTTAAATGCTAAATACATTACCAAATAAGAATATCTTTAAGAATTGTTGCCTCAACCTTACTTATGAACAGAATGTATGAAAATAAATAATTTCTAAATGTTAAATACATTGAAAAAATAGTAAAATCTTTTAGAATTATTGCCTCAATCTTCGCCAAATCACATTAAATTAACTCAAATATATTTTTGGGCATTCTGCGCAATGTTGCCACATGTTTGGCTCCCCAAAGTTGCCACCTTTTCGTTGGGGGGCTTGGGCGTTGCGTATTCAATGCTAAAACACAACAGTCGCAACTTTGACTTGTTGACGGTTGGTTCTCTTCGGGATTTCGGGGGCTGCGTCGATTTCCAGAGCGTTTGGCGCGAGTGCGAAAAATTTCGAAAATTGCCCATTTGCGTGAGAGTGCCCCGAAAAATGTTGGACTCGCAGGACCGAAGTGGGCCGGGGCCCCTAAGCCAATAAATAAAATAGCAATTAAATAAAAGATTAAATTATTAACATAATAATTGAGGGATAAGAGGAAAAAAAAAAAACAAATAGGAATAGGATAATGCCGATCAAAAAGGTGGCGGTGAAGGAGTACGATTCGCAGGATGAGGCTAGCACCGAGTTGCTGGAGAAGCTTAAGCACCTGGACCGCCGTGTGGATGCCGTCGAGGGCGGGGGCGTGGCCAAGGGGGCGTCGGGCGGTCGGGGTAGGCGTGGCCTGGCCTTCTGGCAGTCGGTAAAGTGGAAGTCGGCCCTCAATCACATCGGACTGCTCGTCTCGCTGTCCATCTACTGCGGCGTGGGCGGATTGGTAAGAAGAACGTGTGTTCCACGTCCCCATCAGACCCGAACATAACTAAACAAATATTTAATTATTTTCGATGTTATTTTTTCCGCCTTTTTTCGCCTTTTGCGGCCGCCGCGAACATGCAAAATGATTTGTATTGGGCCCGAAATGCCGAAAACGGCGAGCGTTAAAATTGTTTGGAGCAAGAACGAAAAGCACAACACATAAATACAGTGCCCCATCGAAGAAAGGGATTAAATAGGGTTAACAATACTTTGCCAAAGTGGAACAAGTGATTAAACTGACTTTTTTTGTGTCTAAGGGATTTTGCTGTCAAACAAGGCATTGTTTTTTGGGCATTACATTGCCAAAATTTTGAAGGAGTGGCTTGATATTAATATAAAACCATACATATACATGGTTGAAATCGAATCTTATCAACTCACATTCATTTAATTTTGTTTGGTGCTCAATTTAAAATTAATAAAATTATAAAGTTCAAATATGGCAATTACAAATCCTATTGAAATTTTTTTATTATCTTGCTACAAAAACATATTTGAATGAAAAATATTTTAAAGTGTTTTGCCCTCTAAATATTACTTAGCTGATTAAGTTAATGTATTTGTTTGTGGCTTAAAAATGTTATATTAACATCAAGAAACTACTTTCCTAAAAAAATAAAGTTTCTTATTTTGGAAATTAAATTTTTCAAATTTAATTTACATATTTCCTTCCAGATTGTCCTCTATTAAGTACACATAAATGTTGTTCTGTATATCAACAGTGAGCTACAATGATTAAATCTTTTGATTTTTAATCATTGTTGCACTGAAAAACGTTGTACTTTATTTTTAAAAAGTTAAATTATGAATCTCTCGATCGTTTACTGTACCAATAAGAATAAAGACAATAACCCAAACAGAGCCAAAATTTATTGCAGTGAAAATACTAAAGATTAGCCGAAAAATTAAGTCATAAAACTATTTTGTACATTTAAGTGCCCCGCCTCCCCTAATTGCCACTGCATATCCAGACAGCCGAATCCAAATCTGTCTGCCTGTCTGGCTGTCTGCCTGTCTGACTTTTTTGTCGGCGGAGCAGGAGGAACTGCATCAGGCGGACCACGTCCAGACCACATCTTTCTGGCCTTGTCTAAACATTTACATTTTGCCCAATGACGTCGTGGTTTCAGCTTTTGGTATACTCTATAGTAACCGCTGGTGCTGGTTTATTTGAAATTGATGTCGTCAGTTGTCCATGACTGCAAAATAGCTGCATTTGATCCGCGGGCAATATCGAGGGGAAATCAAGAGCCTTAATTGTTGTCTCCCACGACTTGACATATGGTCGAGTGTCGTGTCGGGAAGGTATTTGTTATATTGCCTCTCAATTTCCTTGGGCGAGCAGCCACAATTACGGGCCCAGGATATGCCATGGAGTGGATATGGTGTGGGTGTTGGGCAAAATAAGCTGAACGAATGGATGTCGAAGCTTATCGAGGATATCTGATATATATGCACTGCGAGACTAGTGCTTAATACAGGCTATTTGTTTTATACACTAAAAATCATTGCTGCTTAATGTGCAAATATTAATGAATTAGTTCATTGCTAGTGATAAGGAAATAAACAACTTATAAAGTTAATTGTGAATTATCAATTTATAAGCAAAGACTTCAGATAGTTTTTGCATTTAAACATTGCAATTTTAAGAAAATATATTTTGACATTAAATACTTTGTTGAATAATCGGGATCTTTTTAAAAAAAATTGTATTGATATTAATTACATTAAAGCCATTTCAAATGGGTTTTTTGATATTGATAATCATAATACAGTCGTTATAGACATTTCCCCTTGAGATTCGATTGATGTTTTATTGCCTTAAACAGATAAATATTATTATTAATATTGTTAAACTCATATGAAATTTGATTGGTTTTTCAATTAGGTACTCCCACAATTAAAACACATTTTTGAAGTGTTACATATGCTGAATGCCAGTTGTCAGGTTCATGCATAAAGTGACTCTATATATATGGACTGCCTTGGCAACTAAATGATTCATGTTGCCTCGAATTCTTGGATATACTGTGCTACATCAAGTTGAGTTCCCCTGCGATTCCCGATCCACCGCAATATTCCAGCCCCATCAACACCTCGCTGATATAAAATATGTGGCGAATTGCGCAGATTTCTGGCAACAAAAGCCATGCATTAATCAGGCAACACATTCGCATTCATATGGATTGTCGAGGAATAGGAATCGAATCCCCAATTCCAAATCCCACCCTTCAAACTCTTGGCCACAGACACCACATGTTGGCCAATTATGCGCACTTCTCACTTAAATGGCTCATCAAATTTGTTTCAAATTCACATGGCGAACAGCATTTGTTTTATGTTCCGATTTTCCCAGGTCTTCATTGCTTGATCTTTTCTTAATAAACTGAAGAAAAGCTGATGAAATTGTAATGATACATTTTTAACATCGCTTTTGGTGAGAAAAGATTGTGTTTTTGTTTTGTTTTTTGGTTTTTTACTTCAAAAATTAATTCAAATGATTATTATGTTAAAAGTGATTTGCTTAGTGATTGCAACTTCAAAGGTGCCCCTATCGTTCAGTTCGATTTGAGTTTTGGTTCGCAATTTACTTTGCATTGACTTAACCCCAGAATCGACCCTTTAACCCAATGTCATCTGCCAACTTGAAGTTAAACGGAAATGAATTCTGGGACGTGAACGGAACTGTCCACATCAGCATATCACATGACATTTAAGTTTTCTCACTGTTTTTCTTCAATTTTTTCTGGCCGGAAATCAGATTCAGTCACTTGACCAGTGACAAAAACTTTTGACCCCATCTGCACTCCCCCAGAGATTAGTTTACAAAATAAAGTTTTCTGCCCTATAATTAGCTCTGAATTATGATCTTGAGATTTCTGCAAAGCAAAAAATCCATCTTAAAATTAAATGATTTTTTATAAGAACTTAATAGTTTTATTTTAATACTCCATAGTTTTTACGTTATATACACAGTTGACTTGTTGCTTAAAAAAAAAATTAACAAATATAAAATAATAAATTATATATTTCCAACTTTTTTGTTTAATTTTAATACTTTTTCTTAGATAAAATACAACAAATTTAAGGTTTATTTTTAATTTGAGAAAAAATGTTTTAAAATTAAATTTAACATAATAAAATATATATTCCCAAGTATAAGTTTGGAAAGTATTTAATTTCAAGCTCACCAGACATTCATGGCGTCATTCTTTTTGAATTTCTTCTTTTCTTATTTGATAGATAAGCTGCTTTAAAGTGAAATCACTTTTTGGGAGCAGAAAACACAAAGTTTTAATTGGTTTTGTTGACGAGCGGGCCATGAAGCAATTGACATTTATCTATTTAATGGTTTTGTTTCCGTTTTTCGCCTTAAGACCGCCCAGTTTATTTATTAATTAAGCCAAAGCCAAAGTCAAAGGCCCAGGGAAGCGGAAAGGAGTAAGGCTCGAATTACGAGCAAACAGCCTCCATTTCACATATGGCCAAAAATGGGGGTTGAGTGGCCATAAATCATTTTAATTAGCATTTTGTAGCATACTCGAAGGCGTCGTCAATTCTTTTCACGTGTGTGTGAGTGTGTGTGTGAGCTTTCTCCGCTTGTCTAAGTGTGAGTGTTACAAATTTTACTTTGTCAAAAGTTGTCCAGCGGACAAAGTTAGAGGCCAAGCGAATTAAGTTGTTGGCCAGAATAACACACAACAACAAAACGGCCAATTAGACTCGAGACAACCCAACCCATTTCCCTCACTTTCTCCCTTTTATAAAAGATTATATACATATATACGGTTGCAGTTAAGATAATAGCATCTTTTATCACTAATTTTAAATTTAAACATAAATAATAGTTATGGCTGAAATAAGTTTTAATAAAAATCGAATCTAATAAAAATTTAAATTCAATAAACTTTTTAATTTTCAAACTGTATGTAAAAATTAAAATATCTTCAATTTTAGTACAAACTACATTCAAATAAATTTATAAATAGTCACATCTTGTTGCTGTCAACTTTGTATTTGAATTTCAGAAAATGAAAAAAAAATAATTTCAATAATTTTATTCTTAAAAATATTAATTAATAAATTAATTACATATCTCTACAATTTTAAGGCAAACAGTTTAAAAACAAATTTATAAATATCACAGAAATCTATTTGAACTAGCTTATCAATTTGTATTTATTTTCTTTCGAAACCTATTTAAAGTTGGTTGAATTATCAATTTGTATTTATTTTATTTTATATTTTGCTAAAATTCAACCAATTTGACCACGGCTGTATTGTGCCATCTATATGCTCATGTGAGTGCTGGTGCTATCTGATTAACTGACCCATCCAAGCCTGACCAGACATGATTTTTCATATCGAGGCCAATTTGCTTCTTGGCCCTGAACGGAATCCAAAACCAAAATAAAAGCGGCTGCCAAAAGTCAGGAACTAGGCACGGCCCAATCGACGCTTTTCCGCATTTCCACCGCGGATGTTTGCAACAGGAATACAAAAGAAGAGCGAATGGGAAAAACCGAAGAGGGAAAGGCATTTCGGAGAACGTTAGAAAATCACGTCAGGTTCACATTAGGCCAACATTTTGACATTTTTATTGACCCGCGCCGCTTAAAAGGTGATAAAGCGTGATAGAAAGTTAAGGTTAAATGAACACAATTTTAACTTTTATTTTTAGGAAGTTATAACAGAGAATTTTTAATCTTTGGATGAGCACTGAGTTAACAGAAGAACCTGAAACCATTTTCTGGCAATTAATAGTTGTATTTAAGGAATATGTTAGTTCTACAATCGAAAGTCTTATTCAAATTTAATTGGTTAGTTAATCGAAAAGTTAATTTAAAGTAAAGCTTAAACGTTTAGAAAACATTTTATCGATATATGTATATACATGTTGATTAGTACTAGTATTATTTACTTTTAATATAAAAGGAATATGTTAATTAAAAAACAAAT